AGACCTCTCCCTTGCATGTTATCTATAGAAGAATATCATTTATAAAAACAATCATCAAACAGCAGAGGGGATACAACTGTTAGGAAATATAGCACAGAAAAACTTCAAGTTCATATAGAGTACATGAAAATGCTAATGTGTTGACATGTCAATTAAACTTTTGCTTCCATCAGAACCAGTGTGTGAGCCTTCTTCTTCTCTGTTTTGTCTGGTTCACTGCTGCGCTTCCATCTACAGGTCGTTCCTTTGTTTCGTGCCCGCACATGCCTGAGACACAAGTAGGAAGCAGGACTTGTGAACAAAAGGTACACTGTTCCTTGTACTCAAACAATGAAAAGATTTTCATCCACCTCTTAGCCCATCTAGAGTCTGTCACAACTTTGTGTGCTGTGGTCCCCCACAGTCCACAACCAGGACATCCCAAGTCACTGTTCACCAACAGCAGGAGACCTGTGCACAGAGTGACTCAGGCTGGACAAGCCCCAGTATAGGGGGGTGGGATGCTGGTTAGAGGATGGGCCTGATTACCCCCAAAGCACGTGTTTTTACATCTGAGGGTTCACCACACACTCAACTGCCTCAGACTGCAAACCCTGACCCATGGCCAAGAATCCTGCCGCAGGGGACACCATCCTGAGACCTAGGGTTAAGCACATGGTACCGGATGCCCTCGGGGGGACCACGGCCCATGTTTGCTGACACCCTCTCTAGCAGATAAAGCCAAGACCTGGAATTGTCTTCACACTCTTTCTCAGTGGTGAAGAAACCAGCAGAGGCTACTAAGAAACAAAGGGACACTGAGTGCCAGCTGTTAGGAAGAGGCGGAGTCCAGGGGCAGGCAGCTGAAGCACAGGCAACACCTCACCACTCATCTCTCTGCAAGCTACTCTCCCCACTTGATAGAGCCTCAAACAGAGAACTAGTCTCTCTGAGAAGTCCTGTCCCTGGACGATGGCCATCAGTCCTGGGCTCATCTGTGGTCCTCACCCTCCCCGCAGAGTCCTGGAGCCATGACAGGACACCATCAGGACACCATGTGGGTGCAGGTCATTTAGCCACAAATCCATCTATGGTCCCACAACACATTGTCCATGGGCCTCTGCTACCACAGAACTTTAATGCAGAATGACATGGTGAAAAAGCACCAGGCGGCTGCCACTGGCCAAATCCGTGACAATTTGAGCATCAAAGTAAGTATTGAGTGTAACACATAATAAAAACCCACTGAATTAAACAGGGACCCATGAACTTAAGTTGATAAATGAAACAAACACAGAAGGGAGAGAGGAAAGCTCTCCCTTCCTTGCACACTTCCCTCCCATTACATATGAAAAGTGCTGACCACAGCCGAGAACACAACCTTCAAGTACAGTCCCAGGAGTAGGACACAGACACCCTGTGCTTCCTGATGTGATACACCGAGGACAACATACAGCACACTGTTGGGACAATCAGTGACATGTGAATAAGGTCTACTGATTACACACTATTACTGTAATATAGGTAACTTCTGATTTTGAGTACTATCTGAGGTTACATAAGAGAATACTCTTAGTCTTAGGAAACACACACAGAAGTATTTAAGAAAAAGGTGCATCACGTCTGCAGTTTATTCCCAAATACCCCAGAAAATAACATGTACTCAGGTACAGGAGGGAAAGTGTTAGAGCAAATGTGGCAAAAAGTTAACGGTGGGGAAATGGAGATAGCAAACAAAATAGGGTTCTTTGTACCATTCTTGCAACTTTTGTGTAAGTCTGAAATTATTTCAAAATCAAAAATTACAAAAATAGCTCCAAAACGGAGTGGTGGAGCTCCTATCAGATGGGGGAAAGGAGAGTGTCATTCTGCCCTGGAGGTCGTTTGGGGACATTACACTAAGTCCCAGGGGAATAGGGAACATGCAGAAGGACTTGCGCTCACCTGTGCCTCTCACTCCCGCTTCCAGGATTCAGACTCCACAGCTCCGTGTCAAACGCTGCCTCACTGCCCTGACGTGGCCTGAACACATGACAACTACACGACAACTTCCTCTATTGCTCTTACTGGAAAAACGGGAGAATATCCTGTCAGGCTTCGCAAGGCTCGTAGCAATCAAAGACCAACACTTCAGAAAAGGTACTGTCATGGTATTACACCAAATAGAGACACTAAATATTTAAAATGCTAAAATCTGTCCTAAGCAGTGTGCTGAGGTACATACTTGCCAAGAAGTAATGGCTTCCACGTGATGCCAGCATGTAAATTCAATGTATCACTTTCCCACACAGCCTCCCGTTTCCTCCCCGCAATATTCAACAGTGAACTATCAGTGCAAATGCAGACAATGGACTCTTTAATCTGGCAGTATCAAGGGCAGGGCACCTGTGGCTTTGGGGGTCACTGTGTCACTATCCTGAGCTTCAAAGTGGTGCTTTGAACTGGCTACTTATAAAATCCGGAGAATATATTTCCCTCCATTTTAGAAAAAACAGATTACATCTTAGAGTCTGTCCCTACTCCTATCCCCAGTATATAAAGGACTTAGAATGAGTCCTTTATATTAGCAACTGCATTTCCGTTGTTGATTCATGATTATAAAATATAGCAAATACTGCAGTAAGATTTCCATTTATTTTACTAAACACATCGAGGAAAAATAGGTTAATATCTGAAATAACAGGCACAAATACCTTAAACAATAAACTGATATCACATAGGGAGGAGGAGGAGGAGGAGGAGGAAGGACATGACTTGATGGATGTTGTTCATCTCACTGTCAGTGGAGAGATAAGGTGACAAAGACAACCTACGGCCTGTGTCTCACTTGCTCACCCCCCTTCAATAGCCGAAGTGAGGGGATGGTTGTGCTCCAACCCCCGACGCCACCTGTGGCCCATGTGTTTCTCATCACTGACCACATATGGCCAACCATGGAGGGGTGTCAACCACACCCATCTAGGCAGGCTCAGGGGAAAGCTTGGTATTCCGTGTAAGCTTAAAGAGAAACTTTTACAAAATATCTTTAAACACACCCAGCTTTGTGGCCAAAGGCTCTGATCCAGCTCTAGGAATGTATCTCAGTGTTCAGAGCTTCCGGACACTGAAGGCACCGGGGCCCAAGGGCCTCATCTCTGGGGCAGCCCCACCCAGGTCAGATCTGGTCCCAAGGACATCTACAAACCTGTCTCCAGACAGGGAGGGAGGCAGGCCCAGCCTGCTTGCCAGTTCATTGCTTAGACTCACCCGCGAGATCCATGCTCACCTATGCCCTTTTCCTGCTGGATTATGGGCACAGTTCTAGAATCAGGATTCTGATCTACCCAGCCCACCCTCTTGAAAGGGGACCTGTATACCCCCCACCTCAGCATGGGGACTAGCATCCTGTACCTACTGGGCCCTGCTCCTGATGAGTCCCTCCTACTCCAGCAGGACAGCAGCCCAGCCACACACAGTGACACTAAATCCCCGTCAGAGGAAACGGCAACATTACTGACACATTATAAAACAATCAACCTTGCAAAAATCAATTAACCATTTCAGAGCTAGGCTGAGGAGGAACTAACGGTCTATGAACTGATCCATGTCAGATACAGGACGCCTGGCATTGTGCTAGCTAAAGACAGTATCGTAAGAAATTCCTAAGCAACAAGACAGTATCGTAAGAAATTCCTAAGCAACATTTCCCATTTAATGAAGATCATACTGTAGCACACTTCCCATCAAACATCACACACACACACCCTCTTCTCCCCAAGGCGTGAAGAGGACCCAATGTGGCTTTTCTGAAAGTCCCAAATGCCTCTCATGGAGATTCTACACTGAAGAAATGAAAGACTCCTTTGTAATGAGAGACTGTCTCCGTGTGTTTAAAAAAGCTTGAAAGGCATAGTACATATATGGACAGGAAAGCAAGAATAATAGAAAGCAATTAACAGGTAACATCCATTTACCTAGCAACAGCACTAACATTTAGTGCAGTATAGAAATACTGGATGTCCTAAGCATGACCTCCCTCCAGAAGGAAAAACAGATTTAAAAATATCTTTAAGAGGTACTTAGATGAAACGATAGTGTTCAGAAGAAAAGAAGCCAGAGTGAAGTGACACAGTAAGAAAGAACATTCACAAGTACTTTCTACAAAATATGATTTAAGTGTCTTCCTTGTAGATAAATCAACAGAAATCCCTTCATACATCATTGTTTGAAAGAAAGTGTAAACCAGCCAGGAGTACATGATGTCACACAATGGCTAGAGAGCCCTTTACAGGAAGTAGTCGAACATGCTCATGAGAGCCCCATTTAACCCTCCACGTTAAAGCCTACAAATGTATACATGTCTTCATGGGAAAAAGGTGTCCAAATGGTAAAATACAGTGACACCAAGCAAAACAAAGAAGTACACTGCATCTACTGGGCAAGGCATAGGGCTTAATTAAAAAAAAAAAAAAAAAATCAACAGCACACCTCAAAAATTTAAGTGGCAGTCAACTTGGGGTATAAATTACAGGCTATTAATGAATGACCTCCTAATCCTAATATATTTCTATAAATGAGAGTCCAGAGACAGCCATGGGGCCAAAAGGACAACGTCTCCTGCTCTGACCCATGGCACCAGCAAATCACAGGGCATCATTTCCTTGGCTGAGTGAGCCTGGAAAGTTAAAAATTTCTTTAACTTTGACACAAACTGACTAAAGGGAGTGCAGACACACCTGATATGCACTGAAAATTACGTTAACATTTACACGGGACTATTTCAAACACATAAATAACCCAGTTTAAGACTTGTGCTTATGGACCCCTTTGCCACCTTGCATCGGGTTCTGCTGAACTACCATCACTTCAGTTCAGTCATAACACAAACGGAAAATGAGAAAGCAGGAACAATGGAAGGTCACACACAGTAGCACCTGTTACTTCCAGAACAAGCATGGAATGATTACTCGTCACTTTATTTTGTATGGTTTGGAAGAGGGAGGATGTGAAGAGAAGAGGGGTAAGTAAGAAAACCTCATTACCCTCCGTGGATAATAGGCGTTGAATTCGTCCCCGATCCGCCGCAGCTCCTGTGCGATCCACATCTCTGGGCGCAGGTCTGCAGGGAGAGCCTGAGACTGCCGCATGGAGGCTGCACCAGAACAAAAAGAGAAATCACATTGTTTCCACAGATCACGTAGACAGGTCCAATGGCAGCAAGCCTCTCCCACGTGTGCATTCATGTTTCTGGAGCTCCCTGACTTCGGAGCTACAACAACGCATCCCAGATCACTGTGGCTCAATGTGCCACACAGCTCTGGTTACAAAGAATAAGGAATGTGGAACAATTTCCTTTCTCAAACCTTGGGATCCAGCACCACAAAATTCGAAAATTTCCTGGCCAATCAATCACATACTTTCACTTCAGAAAGGCAAACACACACAAAATGGTACAATAAATATCACCAAAGAAATACACTGGAAACACGTGAGAACCTAAAAATTGAGGTGGTAAGATGACTACTTTGATCTTAATGTAAGGTAAAATTCCTAGGAAAAACTTCAAACAGCTCAGAGGAATATGAGAAAAAATGGCCGTTCCATTCAAAGCAAAATAAATGAAGCCTGAGAAATGACAACGGGCAAGACCAGCGACTCTGCTCCTGTGGGAGGGGGCGCAGGGCTGCGCAGTCTCCACAGGGCCTGATTAAAGCCTAGCTGCAGGGTTTGTCTCAGCAGTAACATAGCCAACGGATCCAAGTCTGCAACCCCATGTGGGACCGGAAATGTTTTGGGTGGAAGAGCAAAGGTGTTTTTGTTGAAGTAAAAAAGAGGGGAGCTTCCCTTTCATTAAGCTGTCCACGTCCACTTGTTAATGGAGCCACTAAAGCCATCTAACAGCCAAAAATAAAGGGGAACAAAATGGAAGCTCACCACATATTAGAAGACAGTCTCCATGTAACCCCAAGAAAAGCACTGTCCGCAGCTGGTGAGCAGCGCAGAAAAATGGCCCAGGAAGCAATGAGACTCAGGGGGCTGAAACAGCCTATCACAGGCAACGCAGTAACCTACTACTAACAGAGCACATGATACTAGTTGCAATTATACACACATGTTCCATTTCAATCAAAATTTTTTTTAAAACCTAATCAGATCTCACGATAACATGACCATAAGCTTCCTATTTTGTAAAAAATTTTGTATTTTGTATTTTATTGTTATAAATACAACTGATGTTGAGTCACAGCTTCTGTAAAAGCACTTAAAAGTGAACTCCTTGAAGAGTTTTAACCAAGTCTTCTCCATAGTCCTGCCCCAACATATCTGCTCCCCAGCACCCACCAAAGTGAATTCCACAGTGATCGTACAAATGCAGCACCCACAAGGGGCAGGGCGCCCTGTGTGGGATGGGGAGCATGCAAGAGGATGGCCAAAGACAAATACATACAGATCCTCACCAGAACCACCCGCACTCTGAATTAGGCCAGGGGAAAACTGCTTGGAAAGGAAAGCATGCTGGAGAATGTAAGGCTGATGATGGGGAACTTCAGGACAAGCCAGGCGTGTCCCCTGAACACACATCGAACCACAGAAAAATCACTTTGGCTGAACCTTTGTCATGCAAATATTTCTACTGGTCCTATGTGAGTCTATTAAATTTAAATTTTAAATGACTAAAGTGACAGAACAAACACAACGTTTCAGGGTAGAAGCGATGCCAGGGGCTGCTGTAAAACTGACTCCCTTTACCTGGGTTTACAGCTCTTTAAGGATTGGCCCCATTGCAGGCACCAAATCTTAAGTGTTTTTTTGTATACCATTGGCAGTCAAGCATTCTTTTCCATTTTTGAAGATTTTCAAAGTTATCTCACCCTTGAGGGGAAGGAAAGCGTCCTTTCTCAGAACTCCTACTTTACCCCAGAGCCTGCAGGGTGCTTTGGCCATGCACGGAGATGAACCTGCCCGTATGTGCAGGTGACCGGGACAGCCAGCAGAACACCAGTTGGCCACGTAGCGTCACCATCACCCACCTCCCCACATGGCCTGCTCATTCCTCACTACACGTGACTTTAAGAGTAACCTGCTTCCAATCCTAGAGTCAGAAATAAAGAAAATGCCAACTATCCAAAGAAAACCTGTGAAATACAGACTGTGTTTTACAAAGATGGTTGACTTGTAAAAACTGCTAGAAGTTACCTGATAATCAAGATAGTAACTAACTCACCAGGCTACAAGTACCCACGTGCCAGATACTGTCCTAGCAAGTGACCTGGGCACAGCAACCAAAGAGGCCAAGCCCAGCCCTGACAAAGCTAATATTCTTGTGGATTAAATGTTAAATTTTAACTAAATATTGTGTCCTCTGGACAAGGATACTTACAAGTACACTTGATATAAAACAAAACTATTCCCTGGTTACTTTTCCCAGCGGTAGCAGAAGCCTGATGATTGTATGTAGTTTCAAAGGGTCTGGCTCATGATCGGACTTGGCAACCAGAGCACCATCATGGAAGCCAATCCAGGCGGAAGGCAGACTAACGCCTAGGGACCTAGGGAACTGGTCAACTTTGCCAACAGCCAAGAAGAAAGCTTGGAACCTTGGTGACCAAATCAAACTGCGCCCCTTAGAGATAAAAGCCTGGCTGTTTCAGGGAAGGAAGCAAAGGAGACAAATAGATATTTCTTCCATATGAAGTAAAAGTTCAGTAGCTTAAATAAACTGTTATTGTAAATAAACAAAGAGACAGAAACACATCCCAAGGGGGAAGTAGGGTGACAGGAGGTGGTGTGTCTGTGGGAAGCCCTGGACCTGTATTCTAAAAGCTTCCCACATGACTCTGGTACAGACAAAGACCAGACCCTGAGAAATACTGAGCAAAGAGGAAGAGGTTCTGGAGCCAGACGTGTCTTCAGAGAACATCTATGAATGAGGAGAGGTGTACTGGCCAAGGATAACGAATTAGATCAGGCTGAGCACTACTAACTGGCTATACCACCAGGTCAGTAAGAGAGCTGCCAACTGTACACTCAGGTATATTGTTTTAAAGTCGATCTAGAATAGTGATATACAATATAAATTAACTTTTTCAAAGGAGACCAATCTGTCTGAGCTACTCTAACTGCATCTTATTGTCATTTGGCTTTTTAAAGAACTTTTTTTTCAGAGGCAAATACTGTTCTGGTTCCATCAATCTATAAACATAAAATTAATGATAACACTCCTCCTGCAATAAAGCCTAGCAAATATGTACATACAATATAGGGTTATAAAGTAAGATTATACGATAAAAATTCTATTTTGAAACATTTAAAAGGCATCTTATCCTGTATTATAAATAGGTAGTCTTAATTTCAGTTAATACAGTGCATTCTTAACATAAATTTCAAAGACTATTTCTGAAGTGACAAAATATCTTCTCTCTTGGGGGCGGGGCATAAAAGCGGTCTTTCTTTTCTTTAAAACAATTTTTCTCTATGAGGTTGCAGACTGTGGTCTAGGCCCTTGGGGATATATAAACAAACACAAGAGATAAAATGTCCTACCTCCTTGAAGCTTACACTTCAACTGGAGAGATACAGACAATTCACATGTGAGGTCTGTCCAGAAAGTATCCAGCCATGCAATGTGAATGATAGACATTTACTGAAGAAGATACAAGAAACAATACACAGGACAATGATGCCTCAGTCCTCTTCAGAGTAGGTACCTTGGGACTTTGCACAGTTCTCCCAGTTGCCATCAGCTGCCCAGGCGTGTTTTCCTGAATCTCACTGATGGTCTGAAATCTCTTCCCTTTCAAAGGTGATTCTAGTTTTGGGAAAACCCAGAAGTCTCAGGGCACCAAATCTGGGCTGTAGGGGATGGTGAGTCACCTGGGTGATTTGATGTTTCACCAAAAAAACTCTGCAAGAGACATGATGCATGAGCAGGTGCATTGTTGTGATGAAGTTGCTAATCACCAGTTGTCCATAGCTGTGGCCTTCTGAGTCATCCAAATAGTTTCCACGGAGGAATGTTCAAGCTTAACACAAAATTTGATGCAGACTTGTTGCTCTATTTGCTCAGTCATTTTTAATGTGATACCCACACAATACACATGCTCACTCAATGGCATCTACCGCATCCACTGACTAGTACAGTGAGGTCATCACTGTTCACACATGTGCATGCCACTCTCCTTGGCTGCCAGGTTACACTGATGTTACGCAAACTGTTCTCGTTATATTAACAACGGCTGGACTTTTTTCCGGACAGACCTCATAAATAAGTAATATGCAGAACAGATTTAAGGTGTCAAGTGCTATGGTTTAAAAAAATAAAACTGGGTAAGGCAGAGCAGGAGTTCAGGGGGGCTATGGGGGTGTGGTCAGAATAGGCGTCACCTACAGGGTAGCTTTTGAGCAAATATTTAAAGTGGTTAAAAGATAATAAGAAAAGACCCACATTAACTAGATTATGTAAATTAAGAATAAATGCTTTATAATAAAATGATTACCGAGATGATGAATTTTTTTCCATTCTTCCCTGGCAGGTCAGAGATGACAAAGCATCTATAACTCAATTATCATCTTAATTGCTAGAAAATAAAATTTCTGTCCTTGTCTAAGTGATGGCAACAACATACTTTTGAAACTTGAGTCAGTTTTGTTTTGTGATTAAGTGCTTTGTTCTCATGACCACACGACTGTAATCTACAAAATGTCTTTCTGTACATGAATCAAATGAGGTGCAAAACTGATAAATACCTTTTTAAGGATAGCCTGAAGACATTTGTTTTTTATATGAAAACACAAAGCAGTGCCAAAAAGTTTCTTAGGCAAGAATCATACAAAATTGAGTATGTTTCCTAATTCCTATACTGATACAGTAACTGCTAACAATTACTGAGTTCCTACCATGTGCAGATATCGTGAGGCATTTTATGTGAATAATTTCATTTAATTTATTCACTCATTCAACAACAATTGAGCATTGACTTGTACCAGGCATCATCCTAGACTCTGGGGATATAGCAGGGAACAAAACGTAAGATCAAAATCCTTGATCTTATGGAAATGATACATAAAGGTCAGGTGGAAACAGTAATTAAAGCAGCCTAAAGGGGGTGGAGAGTGCCTTTTGGCGGGGGGTGGGGGGGCTGCTAATTTATT